CCTACTAGTGGATTAAATTGGAGCGAGTCGAGGTAAGTGACTTGTCTAACATTGTGTGTGAGAAATTTTCCCTAGGATTGGTATTGATGTGATAATTGTAATGTGTTGAAAGTCGTGTACACGAGGTGACGAGTGTGTACACGTGCTAAATGTGGAAGATTATGTTTATAAATTGTGTAGATCATTGTTGCATATTAATTAAGTTATTTTATCTTATTATATTCTTCTTCATTGATCTGATTTTTATACTTTAAATTTGCTTGACCTTTTCCTGCTAATTGTTTTACTTGTTTAGTTGAAGCTTGGTTTATTTTATTTTGTGCATTATTTGAAAGTTGGATTTTTTAAATTTAAATATTATTAATATAAAGTATTTGATATTTTAAATTTGGTACGGAGGCAACGTATTAAAAATTTTGAAATATAATTTTTGCTGAGTTATTTATTTCCGAATATTTTGTGAGATTTTTGTACTCATTGTGATTGAGCCGTGAGCTCCTTGTTGTGAAAAATATTGTTGATGTTGCTATTTTGGCAAATATAAATATTTGGGCACTTGAGGTGCAAATTGTGATATTGATATGCATGCGGTGGTATAAGGTCTCAGTGTTGAAATGCATGCGGTGAGATGAGGGTGGCTTGATACGCATGGCTAGTAGGGGAACTACTAAAAGTCATGCATTGTGATAAGGGTGGCTAAAACACGGGATGCTATTTCAGGAAAAATATTTTCTTTAAAAATTAAATGTGAAGGCTCCCGTGATGATATAACGAAATGAGATATTGTGAATTTATTTATGATTTGGGACTACGAGGCGGTACCTCGGGAGTGCCCTTGTTGATATTCTTTATGGCTGCATTTGCCTTTGGTTATTTTGGTAATTTCTTTAAAGTTGTAAATTTCTGTTTTCGTCCCGCTAGGTATTGTTTGCCTTTATTATTTTATGTAATTAAATAGTGACATACTACTTGATTTATTTTTTGTTATTTTATTGTTATTATATTGTTAAATATTTTACTATGCCTTTTATTATTTCCAGTAGGGTCTGACTTGACCTCGTCACTACTCTATCGAGGTTAGGCTTGACACTTACTGGGTACCGTTGTGGTGTACTCATACTACACTTCTGCACATCTTTTTGTACAAATCTAGGTACATCCTACCAGCCCAGATATCAGTGAGCTACTTGTGTACGGAGACTTCGAGGTATATCTGTCAGCGTCCGCAGACTCCGGAGTCCACTTTTATCCTTATTATGTTGCTTCCTTATTTTTATTTTGACTCTGATATATAGAGACATTGAGAATAAATTCTTAGAAGCTTGTGACTTATTTTTATCGGGTTTTGGGAGTTGTAATTATGTGAATTGCAGATTTATTTATTTTATATTTTAATTGGTATTCCGCATTGATAGACTTACCTAGTCTTAGAGACTATGTGCCATCACGATATCCTACGGAGGGAATTTGGGGTCGTGACACAAAGAGAATTGAGGCAGTTCAAAGTTGGCCCAAACATTCTATCGCTACAGAGATCAAGAGTTTCTTAGTTTTGGCGGGCTACTATCGTCGCTTTGTAGAAGGATTTTCATCTATTGCAACTCCATTGACCAAGTTGACTCAGAAGGGCGCTCTGTTCATATGGGCTAACGAGTGTGAGAAGATCTTTCAGATGCTAAAGACTGTTTTGACTACTGCTCCAATTTTGTTACTGCCATCAGGGTTAGGAATATATACAGTTTATTGTGATACTTCACATGTTGGGCTTGGGTGTGTGTTGATGCAGGACGGTAGAGTGATTCTTTCAATTGACGGAGTCGGCATACATATCATGGCAGACTTATGAGGCAAGTACGCAAGTAGCCCAGTTGGCGCAATACCACTAACATGGTCCCAGTTCTCATATCTTTTCTTGGGAGAGTTTATCCCACAGACACGTAGGGATGAGTTGCACCGTGAGTTAGAGCATTTGCGCGAGGAGGGTATGACCGTGACCCAATATGCTTTGAAGTTTACAAAATTATCACACTGTACATCTCCTTTGTTTTTCTACCGAGAGGGAGCTAGAGAGTATTTGCAAATCCACAACACCAACACAAAAGTTGGACATAACATTCTCCAATCGTAATAGAAATCAACGCTCCTTTTATGAGATTAATCAAAGATGTGGCTGTGACAGTCAAGTTTATTCATGAAAGAATACTCGAGATCGAGCGTTTACCTTTTATTTTTTTTACTGAGCAATGAGTGCATGAGCTGAGTCCAAGTTTGCTTATAATAATCTTTCCCCATTTCACAAGAAGTTTCATTAACGACAATATGAAACTCATTTTAAGCAAGAAAAGAAGGTTCGATTTAACTTGCTATAATCTCAAGCAAAGGTATAAAACAATTACGTCATTGAATAAATTGAAGTACCTAAAAAAAAATGCAATGCAGCAGTATCACATACGTTCCTTATGAGTTTTCTTATTCTCGGCCTCGTGTCACATAAATATTTCATATATCAGTAATTTATAATGTTGTAAGTGACGTCATCTTAGCCCTTCACAACTTTTAATATGTTGTGAATAACTAACACCTGATTTCACCGGATTAGTTTAAAGATATTTTAAAAGATTTTATGTGGTTCTTTAACCGGACAATAACAAACTGAAGTTAATTATTTTAAGTAAAAGGCTTTCTATGTTCGGGAAGAATCAAGGTGGCAATAGCTATATGGTTTTCGATATCCACAAACATGATTAATTCAAATTCGTGTTGTATGACCCATTAAAGAAGGTATATTTCTTAAAATAGGAACTCATTATCTCAAACAAAAAGAAAAATACTTGAATAGTGATTAAAGGAGGTTTTAAAGTCCTATTGACACCAATTCATTTCCTCACACATTTTATATGAGCGTATATTTTATAGGATAAGTAAAATAAAAATATAGCGAGTAATTAATAAATGTATTTAATTTTTAAACAATGTTTTACCTTATAATGTTACTAAACAGCTAACTGCAAGTAAATAAGACTTGTTAATATACTTATAATGTAAATTTATTAGACTATATCTGCAAACTTAGATCTTTATAAATAACATGAAATACACAATTGATCCAAAAATGCTAGTAATAAAAATATAATTCGATGATCTATAAAAAAGCAAATGGAGAGGAGGTAGTCCAAAGAGCATTGCTATTGGTTAATTTTTTCTAAGTTCTTTTATTGGTAAAATTTACCATTTCTACATGTCGTGCTAGGAAAATCCCTGCGGTGAGAGAATTCATAAATTGAGATTGATGACGGGGCCCACTATTGGGTTCGGCAATTTCTTTTGTTCATGAATCATGGTTATCGGAAGCAGGGGCAGATTTACGTGAGCACAAGCGGTGATACGCTTTGTTGAAAATCTTAACTAATTATTTATACATAATCTAAATCAAGAAACATGAAAACAGTAAAATATAATAAAGTGACAACAATCACCACAAAGAGCTGAGCAGCTTATGCGGTTAGGGTCTGAGGATTTGTATTTGAGATCACAAGTTCGAACCTTCACAGCCTCATTTTATGTGTCTGTTTTAATATGTTTTTAACATACAGGGATGCTGCTTCTTCCTTTGTAAGTTGTGTTATTTTTATAAAAAATAATATTATTACAGTAATTTAATTATTTTTTCACATTTAAAATGGTGACACCGCTTATAAAATTTCTTGTGTATGCCCCTCATCGGAGGGTCGAGCATTCGAAAAATTTCGTGTGTATGCCCCTCATCGGAAGGTCGAGCATTCGAAAAATTTCTTGTGTATGCCCCTCATCGGAAGGTCGAGCATTCGAAAAATGAACGTGTCTCAGTCAACTGTGGTTGAGATCGTTGACATCAGACGTTACGCGGAGGCGGTTATCACTGTCGAGAATCTCGCTCTCCACTACATAACCCATATTGTGCTAGCCCAAAATTCGGAGCAACAACGCTTCCCCACGACTATAAATGCCATCCTAACACTTCAAGAAATGATCAGCACATATGATAGAAAATTATGAGTGTTCTTCTTTACTAAATTTTGTCTTCAAACTTTGTTAAAATCATCTTAGAGTTTGTAATGATGTAGCCAATTTGGCTCATGAGGTGCCTCATCAAAAAAATATACGAGGGGTTAACCTCTTAAAGATTATCAAAGTACTGAACCAGTGGATTATAAATCATAGCTGAGCAAAATATCACAATATATTTTTAACATATAGGGATACTGCTTCTTCATTTGTAAGTTGTGTTATATTTTTTTTAAATATGATATTATTACAGTAATTTAATTATTTTTTCACGTTTAAAATGGTGACACCTCTTACAAAAATTTATGTGTACGCCCCTGATCGGAAGGTCGAGCATTCAAAAAATGAACTTGTACGTCCAAAGACTCAGTCAACTGCGCCTGAGATCGTTGGCATCAGACGTTACGCAGAGACAATTACCACTGTCGAGAATCTCACTCTCCACTACATAATTCCTGGCGTGTTAGCCCAAAACTTGAAGCGACAACGCTTTCCCACGATTATAAATGCCATCCTAACACTTCGAGAAATGATCATCGAAAGCAAAGACAAAAGCATACGATAGACAATTACTAAGTGTTCTTCTTTACTAAATTTTGTCTTCAAAATTTATTAAAATTATCTTAAAGTTTGTAATGATGTATTATCTCATTCATTATTTACGACTATCAATTTTCTTATTCAAAATTTGGATCAAATCGATTGGTAAATGCCTTAAAATATAAATTTAATTATTTCCTCCACAATCAGATTTTTGGTCAAACAGTCCTAAACCTTAATGAATCAAATATTAGACATCCGATTACCAAGTTTAATAGGGATCTGACAAAAAGAAAAATTAAATAGGGAACAATCACGATATATTGAATAACTTTGGGGACCAAAGTGACATTCAACTGCACCTGCAGGAATCATTCGTTTTGTCCAATTTTCCAGTTTATAAAAGGCATATATGGTCCTAGGGGTGAAGTAGCTTCTCAAGAAACACTACCTCACTCTAAAATTGACACTCCCAATATTATTGCCTCTACTCTCCGATATGCTCACATTCAATAGACATAACACCGTTTAGGGTTTATTAAAGTGAAAACTCGAACAAACAGATCGATAATATTTTTCTATATATAGCGATTCTTCTGCATCATCATACCGAGCTAGTCGCTGTTTGTGTGTGCGCGGTTGTGTGAGGCAATTGTTTTTCAAGTAAGCTTCCATTCCTTCATGGATTTTCATATAGTGATTTCATGATTTTCATATGATATATATCTACTGTGTTCTTAATTGCGTCTAAGGTTCTTTAGGGTTTTATATGGGAGAATTTGTTAGGGTAGTTGTCTTGCATTACTTTATGATATTTACTTCGATTTTCTTGCTTTTAATCCGCAATGCATGTGACATTGTTTTGCCTGAGTGGTTTATAATTGCTTTCAAGAATTTACACTGTCTTTTCGAATTTTCTGATCAAAAAAAGTTTACTATGCGTGGACTGTGCAGAATCAAGAATGTATGGGACCTATAGTTGTCTATGGACAGTGAACGTTTTGGTCGCTACTTTTAGGCTCTTTTCTAGGGTTTTTGTTGTTGTTGGAATCTATAATGGTGAAGTTCTTGGTTAATAAGATCAAGCCCCCAGGGCCTAGTTCAAGTTACAAAGGTTGAGGGACTTGGGACTTAGGTCACAAGTTTTAGCCCATAGCCATGCCAACTAAGCCTGGTATTTAAGTTGAGAGGGATAGAGTTTCGGAAGCTGCGATTGGTCCTAAGGGTCCCCGGACGGATTTCTTGGTCATTGCGAAAAAAAAATTCAAATAGATTTTTGGGTTATTTTTCGTTTTTATTTTCCCTTTTAACTCTGTCAAGAATTAAATGCCCTCTGTTATTTTCTGATTAGGATTGCATGTTTTTTAAGACAAATTTGTCCTTGGCCTAGAGTTGCTTCTTTTTTGCAAGCACTCTGCAAATATTTACAGATAACAGAAATCATTATGAAAATATGTTACATTCTATTAGTTGATCAGCAATAATATTTGGTCCTAGATAAAGGATAGATGTAACGAGAAGTTTCAATAAAATAAAATAATGGTGCTTAACATATTTTCCTTATTTTAAATATTTGATATGGTAAACCCCACCCTAAAGGCTTCCCTTCAGCCAACAGTGCCTTTTTTCACTGGGCCCATTGGTGATTTGAATAACCTCCAACTCATGGGTTGGAGGTGAAGGTTTCAGCCGATAAAGTACTACTACTATGCATAAGCTGAATGCTTGTATATATGTAAATGGAAAGTACAAGTAGGATGAAGATTCAATTGTACATCATAGGGATAACTGCAGAATTTTAGGGAGCAAATATTTCATGGTTGGAAGAGAAATCTTCTTGGGGATGGATGCGCAAATATGGTCATGTTTGCTTCATATCCATAGCTATGACGTATTATGAGAAAATTCTGTCATTTTACATCTATATAAGCTATCACGAGAGAGGTTGAGGTTCGAATGCTGTCAGCCTCTCTAAAATATTTCCTTCTAGTGCTGTTCTCTTTCTGACAACTGCAATTTTTCTTATAAAATAACATCTATATATTACGTAAATGGGTAATAAGCAAACCTATTTGTGGAACCCTATAGATATCACTGACATCCTGCATTGCCAGTTTAGTTCTAGAGATAGTAAACTCTTGGAATACAGACATTCAGGTAGAGTGAACTAGCTTGCTCTCCTTGAGTGTGTGCTGGTCAATAGCTTACCATATACTTTTGCCAGCATCGAGAATCCACACCTTATTCATCTAAAACATAATAAGATTGACAATTGTTATGTTATCTTGCTCTATAGTTAAGTAGGTAGAGTGGTTTGTTCAAGCAGTTATCAGAATCCAGCTATATTATGTGTAACTTTTCCTTTTTCTGTTTCCTCACTTTCAGAGCTTTTCCTTTTCTGCGATGAAATTTATTCAAAGATGTAGAACTTTTGACTAATGCATCCTTGTTGGTAAGACACTTATTATAGTTATTATACATTGAATTGAAGGTGCTAATTTGCACATGATTGTTTTCTGATCATCATCATCATCATTATTGCTACTTTAATTTCCATCTGCAACCAATTAAACTGCAATTGTTTCCTTCTGTTGTAGAAATTAAGCAAACCCATAGACTTTGGAGGTCCCAAAAATGGCAAATTTGACTATTACAAACATACTCGAGAAGGTAAACATTTCATGCTCTGGGTACTTTCTTTTGTGATCCATTTCTTATACTCATTTGGTTGGGATATTTATTTCCTGTTGCTCCATCCACATGTGCAATTTGACTTAGCTTGACTCTATTTTGCAGATGACGGGCAAGGACAAGGACTACAGATATATGGCGACTTCTGACTTGCTAAATGAGTTAAACAAGGAGGGGTTTAAGCTTGATGTTGAGCTTGAAGGGAAGTTATCAAGCACAGTTTTGCAGCAGCTTGATGATGCAGCCGGTGATGTTTCTGGATTGGCTGTGAAATGGTTTGACCTTTTCCCGTTTGTCGCTTCTTATAGTCGTGGTGCTGTTCCTGACTTGGACCGTAGGAGCTTCTAATTGACCTTACTAAACTGATTGTAATCTTTTTCATGTTATAGATCCTATTGCATAATCATCAAAGGTCTGTCAAATATTTCATTTTCCTTGTTGATGATTGTTTTGGCATTGAGACCAATTATGTTTATAATTGCACTATGCAATTTGTTTTATGTAATCCTCTTTGATGGGTTACTTTCTGAATATCTTTACATGAAACTAGATGCCTAATGCAAAAAAGGTAAAGTAGAGGTCATTTGAGAATTTTGATTGTGACCCCTTTTTCGTTAATTTTTAATCCAATATTATACTCTCTTGTGCTATACCTAGAAATTAGATGAATTCTGATTTCGTTTCATGTGATCATTGGAAAAGACCTAAACCCTTTTCTTTTTACTACTACAACAACAAACCCGTGTAATTTCACAAGTGGGGTCTGGGGAGGGTAGTGTGTACGGCTGTATGCAACCTTACTCCTACCCTGTGAAGATAAAGAGGCAGTTTCCGGTAGACCCTCGGCTCAGGAAAAGCATAGTCACAACAATATGAACTAACTCTAGTCCAAGCTACCTTGAGATTGCCCTCCACTTCCTGTTTGTCATGCCCAGTCCTGATTATAGTGGTACTTGACTGCTAATTTGATATAACTAGTTCTATTTTCGGGATTTCACATTTTTTGTCTGACTTTGTAAAATTTATAATCTGTGTACTGATAAAAGAGAAAAGAATCAGAGAATACCTTTCGGTTAATATGTCAATACTTAATTTCTATCACATGTGTCATCTTGGTTTACAACATTGCTTAAGCCTGAGAAGATTGTACTGCACTCTGATCGTTGCTTTCTGACTACTTTTGTTTTTCCAGTCTTGCTCCATTGGCGAAGAAGGTTAGTGAGCAGCAAATTTTAGAGATGACTAATAGGCTTTGTGATAAACTTCTTAATGGAAAAGAACAACACCGGGATATTGCAAGCATAGCTTTGAAGACTATTGTTTCTGAAGTTCCTTCATCATCTATTGCTCAATCCGTCCTCGTCTCAATTTCACCAAAGTTAATAAAAGGGATCACTGCTCCAGTGAGTTGTGCAAAGCTAACTTTACTGTGGATTCTGTACATAATATCGTAACAGGGTTGTCATATCATTTGTAAGTTGGGTTTAGAAGATCGTTTCCAAGTGAAACAACTTGATGTTTGAAGTTGGACAATTTATCCTTTTTCATGTGTTTTTCTATATGGTTTTCATGAATATAAGAGTAGTGCCGCATGGTGGTTTCACCACATTAAACTTGTCTGAGCAAAAACACAGTACGGTCTCCTGAATTTGGTAACTGCATGGATAACTGGCTATCAATAGGTAATGTAGAGATTACCTTCTCTGAAATGAGATTGGATCGTTCAAATTTGGTGCTCTACATGATCTTGTTTTACTCTGGTGCATGGCAAGATTACAACATATACATCCCTATGGTGGATTTTGGATTTCTCCTTTTTAATTTTGAGACTTTCTGGTGTTAATTTCTTGATCCTGATTCAATTCATTCTTTTATTTTGGTTTTTGGTCCCAGTTGTTTTTGGACCGTCCCAGTTCTAGTTTCCTCATCAAGCCAATCGATTGCCTTCTTAGTTAACTGCAGTAGTAAGTGGAGAGGTCTAGGCAATTGGTGTGAACTAAACTAGTGATTAGTAACTGGTAAGAGGGGATAGGGAGGAGCTTTTGCACCTTCTTCTGTAGGACAGCTTTGGGGAGTTGAAATGGAAATTTTGCTTTTGAAAGTATTTCATTTCAGGAAGAGGAAACACATAAACAAACGGCTTTGATCTGCAAGTTGTTCTCTTACCTGTGAACCTGTCGCGATGATAGACTACTCAATGTTGCTTAATGTTTGGTTCTAATGAAGATTAAGCTAGTTTAAATGGGGAACCATTAATAAACGTACGAAATCTGCAAGTGCCTTCAAATGTCCATATTGGTTGTTTACTTGGTTTCAAATCTTTTTTGTTCACTGCTCTTTTCTATGAAATCAAAATTTTCTTCCATCATTCCAAGTGAAGGACGCGTTATGCTGTTCATTAACACAAGGCAGGATTAGATGAATTGTCAATGAATTCACAATTTGTTCCCAGCAAGCAATGTTGTCATTCTTCTGTATATTCTCTTATCAGCCTTTCATTTGGTGAACTCAAACACACACTCTTTACTATGTTTATTTGCTAATAATGCACGTATTTCTAGTTACTTTTTTTAATAATTCTTTCTATGATTGTCTCCTTTCCAGGGAATGAGCACTGAGATTAAGTGTGAATGTCTTGACATACTATGTGATGTTCTTCACAAGTACGGGAATCTGATGGCTTCTGATCATGAGGCATTGTTAACTTCGTTATTGCCCCAGTTGAGTTCCAATCAAGCCAGTGTCAGGAAGAAGACAGTCTCATGTATAGGTAACTTTGTTATCAATTCTTCTTTGATTGTATATGTTTTAAATTGTGAATGGTGAGTTTATCAACTTAAAACAGGGGTTGTTTGATGGCTTAGTCATAGGTGCTTTGGGGGGTAGTAATTGCAATTTCATTTCAGTCATGGAAACATGGGTTCATAAGACTTCTTAGACTATCATGTACTGTTGGACTATTGACCAATCTTTCAACTTTCCTGCAGTAAATTCAGTTTAACCTTTTTCCTATACAGCATCTTTATCTTCGAGTTTGTCTGATGATTTGCTGGCAAAGGCGACTGTTGAAGTTGTTCGCCTTTTGAGCCATAAGGGCTCAAAATCGGAGATGATACGAACTAACATTCAGATGATTGGGGCCTTAAGGTAGCAAATCCTGAATATAAATTGATGCTTTGCATTTTGTCCTCTCAAATGTTCTACATATAATTTTGATATACTTGATTAACTTTAGACAAATGCGTGAGGACAATTTACTTTTCTCTTGACAGTAGGTATAGTGGATACTCGATCAGCAGATTTCAACATATAATTTTGATATACTTGATTAACTTTAGACAAATGCGCGAGGACAATTTACTTTTCTCTTGACAGTAGGTATGGTGGATACTCGATCAGCAGATTTCACTCAAATTTCTTCACCCTGTTGGACTCTATGCTTGTCACTGTCATAGAGAACTGAAACACAGTTGAAAGCGAAAAGAATCCCGTTATCATTTGACATTATTTTTACAACTGGAATAGCAAACATAGGAAGACAAGAGAATTGAGTGAAAGTATTTGAATATTCAGTTTTTTTGGTCCCTCCGTGTACTGGAGATGCACATAATAGAAGGATAAAGCGAAGTAGGTTCAGTATGTAAACCATGGTTATTTGGCCTGGTTTTCTTGTTGGTTAGTAGAACTGCCTACTTGTATCAAATGAAACAAAAGAGGGTCAAGTGACTTGTATCTGGGTGCTCTCTGCTGGAGATGAGTGTTTTGTGTTTACACCTTTAAATAGAGAATTCTGGACTTAAGTAAACATGAAATGGAAAAGATCAAAGGTGTCAAACCTAGCTGTCAAACTGACACATGCATGCTCACCCCTGACTGTCTCTTTTCTATTTAAGATCCTCTATTTTTTGTCTTCTGAGATGGTTTGCTTCCTTTTGGAGACCCCTTCCTCCTTTATTATCTATCTATTTTGTTGACTAAATTTAACTAAGCTGTTAAACTGTGATTCCAGCCGTGCTGTTGGCTATCGTTTTGGTCCCCACCTCGGAGAGACAGTTCCAATGCTAATTAACTACTGTACAAGTGCATCTGAAAATGATGAGGAGCTTCGTGAATATAGTCTGCAGGTGTTATATTAATCGGTTGTCTTTTCTACTTTGTCCTTGTTACTTCCCCCTTGGATGCCTGGGTTTTGAAGTATTTTCATTTCCAGGCACTTGAGAGCTTTTTGCTAAGGTGTCCCCGGGATATTTCTTACTACTGTGATGAAATTTTGCACCTCACCCTGGAATATCTTAGCTATGACCCCAACTTCACCGACAATATGGAGGAAGATATTGATGAAGAAATTCTTGATGAAGAGGAAGATGAGTATGTTCACTTATGCTCTGGATTTTGCAAAGACCCAATAGGGTTATATTTGCTAATGTAATCACTTGTAAATTTTTTATCTAGCGAGAGTGCTAATGAATACACTGACGATGAAGATGTCAGTTGGAAGGTTAGAAGAGCTGCTGCCAAATGCTTAGCAGCATTGATAGTTACTCGGCCTGAGATGCTATCAAAGCTGTATGAGCAGGTATGACTAGGAAGTGTGACCTATTTTGGCCTTCTTACTTTAAGCTACTTTATATCTGAAGTTTTGTTATAGTGTTTAAACCTCTATTTATCATTAGATTACTTGAAGTGTGTTGCTCTGATGTAGCTCTGCATTCTTATTGCAGTTGAAATATTTCTAATACTATCCATTTGTCTCGTAATCATAATAAGCTAATATACCAACTCTAACCTTGTGCAGGCTTGTCCAAAGTTGATTGACAGGTTTAAAGAAAGAGAAGAGAATGTTAAGGTAAATTTCAGATGTACTTTGAACTTCCTAAGCGAGTTGGTTTTAATTTTCTAAATACTTGCTTAACAGATGGATGTGTTTAGTACATTCATTGAGCTGTTGCGACAAACGGGCAATGTAACAAAAGGACATACTGATCTGGATGAATCTAGGTAAGATCATCTCTTTGTTACTTTGAATGACCTTGCCTTATTTTGTTTATTCTGAAATCATTCTACTTCATCTGTGAAGACAGTTACTTTGGGAAACACTTTTTTCCTTCAGAAGACTAGAATATAAATATATGCAATTTTTAATGCGATCTTGAGCACAAACAGTTTAGTGCAGAAATAAAGCGATCAGCGAAAGTTGGGGATAACAATAGTTCTAATTTACTCATTAAGCAAAACCAACAAAAAATAAACATTGTCTGCAAAAGGAGATTGAGAATTTTCAAACAAAAGCCTTCTTATTCTTTAGTTGTGCTAGGCAGTTCTCATTCTCTACTTTTGAGGAAGTATGGACTCTTCATTTCAAAATAAGCTAAGACAGTATGGACCTAATCATTTGTAATAATGAGATATTGAGATTCCCATCTGGTATAACCTTTGTTTTCCTTCCTTCTGTTGTGGTATAACAACTGGTTTTTCTCCCCCTCTCAATGGACTGATTTCACTTCTTTTTACCACACCAAACATAACGTGGATTGGGAGATTCCTAATGCTTTACTCCTTACTGGCATAGCCAGTTTGATAGTATCGGCGATGCCAATATTTTTTTTGGATAAGTCAAATAAATTATGATTTCAATGGTAACTTCCATTGTATCATGCAGTCCTAGATGGCTATTGAAGCAAGAAGTGCCCAAGATTGTTAGATCTTTAAATAAGCAGCTTCGGGAAAAATCTGTGAAGACAAAGGTATGTGTCTACTGCTTACTGCCATCTTTGCTGCAGTCTATGTGTTGGCTTTACATTTCATGAGTCTTCCTCTTTTTAGGTTGGCGCCTTTTCAGTTTTGAAAGAACTTGTGGTCGTCCTTCCTGATTGCCTTGCAGAGCACATTGGATCCCTTATTCCTGGAATTGAGAAGGCATTATGTGTAAGTTGACTTTTCGCTGTTTGTGTTTGTACTTTATAATTCGAACTTTCTAGGTTCTTGCTTCTTTTTTTCCTATTAATGTTGTGATTGTTTTGTACAGGACAAGTCTTCCACATCAAATTTAAAGATTGAAGCTCTCATATTTACAAGATTAGTGTTGGCATCACATTCACCTCTTGTTTTCCACCCACATATTAAGGTAAGACATCTAGTTGCTTATCCGCTTAATATAATTGTAGTAAATGAAATACATACCTGGACTGGTGCAAACTAATAAAAGGTTGTTTCTTAGACGCTTGAAAATTTTATGGGAGTCCTACTTCTCTCGTAACAAAGTTAGAAGAGAACTTCGTTCCTTGATTGAGAAATGGTACTAATCATGCATAAATATGATCTTATACCCGGATTGGTGTGTACTTGTAGAACTGTGTCAAAGCTTGTAAATCTCTGGTTGACCTACTTTTCACATAGAAAATGAAAAATAAAATAAAATTTTACTCCTTGATTGAGAAATGGTACTCAGCAGGCATAATAAGATCAACGCAAGGAGCTCATGATATTAAAAAAGAAAAGATAGTCAACACTCAACAGGATTGTTAAGCAGAGTCGTATGGCTTCATTCCTTGACTGATCGATAATGAGATGATCTAATAATGTTATATTTCTTTCGTTGTATTGTGCAAAATCTCTCCTTTTTTTCCCTGTGATTGTGAAAATTTTCTATAATTAATTTTCTCTGTTACAGCCTTCGGATTTAAATGTTCTTATAGGAGCTATCATCTTAGTCTGTATGTCCAAGGATTTTTCTTTGACTATACTTTCTGTTGTGTTAACTAGGCTATATCTAGTCCTGTTATATCTGCTGTTGGTGAACGGTATTACAAGGTTACTGCAGATGCATTAAGAGTTTGTGGTGAGCTTGTGCGGGTATTACGGCCAAATATCGAGGTTAGATTTCCTTACTGTGCCAATCAACAACTTTTTAGCTGTCTGAAACACTGATGATGTTGCCTTTTAGGGTTCCGCTTTTGATTTCAAACCCTATGTTCATCCAATATATAATGCCATAATGGCGCGTTTGACAAACCAAGATCAGGATCAGGTTAGTTGCTTGCTTTTGAGAAATGAGAACTTTCTTATCTAAGTTGATGTTTATGTAACTGTCCTCGACTTCCAGGAGGTTAAGGAGTGTGCAATTTCTTGCATGGGGCGCGTAGTTTCAACATTTGGTGATCACCTGCAAGCTGAATTATCTGCATGTCTTCCAGTTCTCGTGGACCGAATGGGCAATGAAATAACTAGACTGACAGCTGTCAAGGTTTGTTTGTTTAGGAAATGAGCTCTATCTAAATATGTAGGATAGAAAGGGTACCACTTTAATTTTTTATTTCCTTTAAAATAATTCAAGAATTTTAATTATTATAACTCTTCACAAACTATAGCCTATAGGAGCAAAGAAAATGAACAATTAAGCTTTTTGCTCATGAGTTGGTATGACCAGAAAAGAGAAGTACCCCGTATGTAACAGTATCATAGAAGACTTCTCCTCCCCTCTACTCTCACCATTTCCTAGGCAGGAGTAGGGGTAAGGTTTGCGTGCCCCAGACCCCACTTGTGGGATTTCATTGGGTTTGTTGTTGACCTTTGATCTTCGGTTACCTCCAACATTCTTGATCTTCCCATGGCAAGCGGTTAAAATTGCATGTTGGTTTGGTTACATTGATTTGTATTGGAATTTCCTAGAGTTCATCGCGTATTTGCATTTTGCAGGCTTTTGCTGTCATAGCTGCTTCTCCTTTGCACCTGGATCTTTCATGTGTCATCGAGCAAGTGATTTCTGAGTTAACCGCGTTCTTACGCAAGGTGAAACTAGATGTTCTCAAATGTTAACTTAGAAAAAATTTCACTGCATTTTATATTATGAAGTCTCAACAATTTTGCTACTTTTGGAGAGTAGGCCAATCGGGCTCTCAGACAAGCTACTCTAGGGACCTTGAACACCCTCATCGTAGCTTATGGTGATAAAATTGGATCTGCTGCTTATGAAGTTATTGTTATGGAACTTTCTACACTAATAAGGTTTGAGTTTATGATTAGTTTGGTTGAATAGTTTTCCCATGTTAGATGTTCCTACTACATTTCAGTCCTCGATTGTATCATCAATATATTCTGACTTTCTGAGTATCATTAACATCTTCTGACTTTCTGATTCTTTTGACTTTAGTGACTCAGACTTACACATGACGGCACTTGCGCTGGAGCTTTGCTGTACATTAATGGCTGACAGAAGGTCAAGCGCAAATGTGGGTTTGACTGTGAGAAACAAAGTTCTTCCTCAAGCCTTAACACTAGTGAGAAGTTCACTACTTCAGGGGCAAGCCCTTCTGGTACTTCCTTCTTTCTGTTAGTTTCCATTTTGATCTATTCTGTTTGCTTTACAACACACTTTTTTTTTTGTTGATAAAGACATTACTCACTTTTATTAACATGGCAGGCTCTTCAAAACTTCTTCGCTGCATTGGTTTCCTCTGCCAATACAAGCTTTGATACTCTGCTGGATTCTCTCCTTTCAACTGCTAAACCATCTCCCCAGTCTGGCGGTGTTACCAAACAAGCTTTATTTTCCATTGCTCAATGTGTGGCAGTTCTTTGTCTTGTCGCTGGTGATCAGAAGTGTTCTTCTACTGTAAACATGTTGACAGACAGCCTGAAAGATGATAGTAGTACTAATTCGGTAGGCCCTTTATTTGTTGTTTGTTTGTTTTTTATTTATTTATTTGTATTTTGGTTAAGTTGTTTGTTGATGTTGACTTGTGTGACAATCTCATCTAAAGGCTTGAGCAGTTAGAGATAGTCCACTTCTATAATTACCTAATTGCGTCAACACGCTGCTTCTCACCCTATTCTTTTTCATGGGGCAAGCACGTGAATTTTTTTTTGGTAGTGGGGGGCGGTGAGACATGAATCCAACACCTTTGCCTACTTGGATACCATTTTAAGAAAATACACTTTGGATCTAACTCAATCCCAAAAGTTAGCTCATGATGTGAGGATTACTCGAGACCATACAAGGAAACAATAACCCATTCTTTTACCAAGTATAACAGTCTAATCCACTAGTGATATTATTGTCCATTTTGTGTCAAAGCTTTGCGGGCTTTAAAACGTGTTTCTAGAGTTTCAAAGATTACTTCTTTATATAATACCTAGCATCTCTCCCATGTTTTGCCAATGTGAGGTTTTCTTAGGGTGTTACATACACCCCCAATGTTATCAAAGACGAAAAGCGCAAAAAAGCTCTAAGGTCTGATGGAGCTTTAAGCGCAAAGCGCAAATAAAGTATGAGCTTTAACGAAGAAAGGCGCAAATGGAGAAAAACTACAAATATGTATGTATAGTCCAAGACTAATAACTATAAGCATGAATACCAAATATATGGAGAAAGAAATTGAAGAAAATTTACGATAAAGTGTATATCAATTGTTTAATATCGCCTCTTCGAGATTACGCTCATTGGCAGGAAAAAGTATGCCTCAGAGCCTTCGGCCTTGATGAAAACAATGAAGCGCCCTCTAAGTGAGATGAAGTGCTCAAGATGTTTTGAGCCTCACTTCAGGGCTTAAGCAAGCCTTTAACAACACTAACACCCCCTATAGGGACTTAGTGTTCTTGCTGAGGTTTGCCCCACCATTGCTTGCTTAAGATTGCACTGGATTGACTCTGAAACGATGCAAAAATACTGGGTCTTGGCCCTAACTTAACCCAAAAGCTAGCTTATGAAGTGAGGTTGTCCAAGGCCCCCCATAAAGAGACAATAATATATNAGAACAGTGGATATCAACAAGGGTGCCCAACATTAAGAAACACAATAACAGGGTTAGATCAGGCTCTGATGCTATGTTAAGAATGAACCTTGGTAAGCACTCAATGCCAGATAAAGTTTCTGAGCTTGAACTTCCTTTTGAGATAAACTGCGAGATAAGAAAATGAATCTGCCACCGAGCAGTGTAAATTTACGTGACACTGTTTCTTCTGCTTTCTTCAATTGGTTTTAATAACTGTAAGAGAACCCTGCTTTTCTGATTTCATTTATCCTTTGCAGGCCAAGCAACATCTTGCCTTGCTATGCTTAGGGGAAATTGGAAGAAGGAAGGACTTAAGTTCACATGCCCATATCGAAAATATTGTCATTGAGTCCTTCCAATCACCTTTTGAAGAGATAAAGTCAGCTGCCTCTTATGCTCTTGGAAACATTGCTGTGGGTAATCTACCGAAGTATTTACCCTTTATCTTAGACAAAATTGATAATCAGCAGAAGAAGCAGTACCTACTGCTCCATTCTTTGAAAGAGGTATCTGCATTTTGGATGATCTTTTATTTCAGGAATTCTTTTCCCTCTTAGGTAATTGCTTGATTTCTCGTCTTATATTGTAATATGTCCTTGGATAACAGGTCATAGTGAGACAGTCTGTAGATAATGCTGAATTCCAGGACTCAAGTGTGGATAAAATACTTAATTTGCTCTTTAATCATTGTGAAAGTGACGAAGAGGGTGTTCGGAATGTCGTAGCTGAGTGCCTGGGAAAAATTGCACTTATTGAACCTGGCAAACTCGTTCCAGCACTGAAGGTATGATTAATGATATTCTTAGCTGTAGATCATTTTTCTTTGGCCTTATTGTTCTGTCTGCAAAGTTTTTAACTTTATTTTTGGTGTAGGAGCGGATTAGTAACCCAGCTGCATTCACCAGAGCGACTGTCGTAATTGCTGTGAAATATTCCATAGTTGAGCGGCCAGAGAAGATAGATGAAATCTTGTCTCATGAAATTTCATCTTTCTTGATGCTTATTAAGGATAAAGACCGGGTATTCCTAACTTGATATTCAAGGATTTTTGCATTCCAGAAACAATTTTCTGTTGCCTCCCCCCCACCCCCACCCCCCTTTTCAGTGGTTGTCCGTTAACTTTACGTTTATTGTGATTCATACTTCTCCTGTTCTCAGTCATATCTGCTGTAGTCTTTCATTATGTTCCACTAATTTAACTCTTCATCCCATGCTTTGTTGATTATGCAGCACGTTAGGCGTGCAGCTGTCCTGGCCTTGAGTACCGCAGCTCATAACAAGCCTAACCTGATAAAGGGCCTTCTACCTGAACTCCTGCCACTTCTATATGATCAGACAATAATTAAGGTGTCAAATATCTCTTTATAAATTAATTATTTTTTTTGCATTTTAGTTGATATTGTATTTAAAGGCACTTGAAACCACAACACCTTAATTTTGGCTACATGTGTTCGTACCTGAGTTTGGCACCATGTACAAACTTACATGCATAGTTTAACTCCGTCTCTTGGTTCTTTGAAATATGTATGTGATGCTTTGCTTGAGCAGTGGGCCCAAGGATAACACTCCATCCTGCTGAATATTCTTTTAGGAGGATAATTGGATGTAACTTATAAAGCAAGAATCTATAGTGCACTGATGAAGCACATCGTCATTTCTTTGTACTTTTACTTCTGTATTTTTACGTATTTGAAGCTAATCATCTGAGTCAGAGATTGAAATTTAGTCTTGGTTAGTGGATGGAATTTAGCGATAGGTTCGTTTCTTCTCCCCACAAGCAAAATGCCATCATATTTCACAATCTCCAGGTAATTGACCAAGACAACCGTTGGATGCTATCAGCATGCTACTAACATAACAGACTATCTAATGTACGTTGGTGTAAATTATTATGTTGAATACATATCCAATGTATGTTGGTGTAAATTAATTATATGAAAACTGTGCCCTCTCTACTTTCTCCAACCAAAAAAGAAAGTGTAGCCAGAGTGTTGTCAATAGGCCTATGGCCAATCTTTATGCACATTCTTGTGAACATGATTAACTTATGGCCTCCTGTTCATAAGGACTAGGATATGTTTGTACCCACTACCCATTTAAAGTCATATATAGTACGGTATTCACCTTATTAGAGGTTTGCTGCTTATGTTTAGCAGCCTCAATTGGCATCCCCTGTTGGTTTTTATACTGTTAAATTCAGAACTCTCCCTTCATCCGTGGACACTTATCTCACAGTTATCAGGAAAATAAGAACCAAGTGAACCTGTACTGATTCTATTGAAGGAAACTTCTAACTCGTATTATTTAGGACGGTATATGTGTATTTGCTGGCATGTAAAGTTGAATTAATTTTATGTGTCATTTTTGAAAGATAATTTAGGACACATCAGTTGTTCAAAATCGTGTGCTCTAATAGTTTTACTAATATCAGTTGATTGGTGTTGTTCTCCATCATGATTATGCTTCTTCCTTGTTGCAGAAAGAATTGATAAGGACGGTTGATCTAGGCCCCTTCAAGCATACAGTTGATGATGGACTTGAACTGAGAAAGGCAGCTTTTGAATGTGTAGACACTTTGTTGGACACATGTCTTGATCAAGTGAATCCCTCATCTTTCATTGTTCCATATCTTCAATCTGGTCTGGATGGTAAGCTGACAGCTTGTGATAGACCTGATTCTTTTTCTGTTATCTTTGTTTTTGTTTTGAAATGTGTTATTCTGGTTCTTGAATGTATATTTATATTGATGTCTGCTAGTTTTCCCTCTGTTTTCTTGGGGGTGGGGGTGGGGAGTGGGGTCATTTAGACAAGTCACTGCTCACATATAAGAATTTTGCTGCTGAACTGAGTCTTTTGCCTCCTCTTCCAGATCATTATGATGTTAAAATGCCATGCCACCTTATCCTTTCTAAACTTGCTGATAAGTGCCCTTCAGCGGTATTAGCAGGTACAACATATTTGCTGCTTTTTTCTAATGAACTAGTTTGCACTGTACTTCTTCAGAAGTTATCCTTACAATATTATTGCTTTGCAGTTCTGGATTCTTTGGTGGATCCTCTGCAGAAAACAATAAATTTCAGACCAAAACAGGATGCTGTCAAGCAAGAAGTTGATCGCAACGAAGACATGATTCGAAGTGCCCTTCGAGCAATTGCATCTTTAAATCGTATCAGGTGAGCATCTTCAGTGTCCTTTAAAATTATAACTACTTTGGTGAGCAGGTTACTGGAATTGAGAACCTACCGCCAAGAAATAAACATGTGAATTAAATTATGAATATAGGTGGATATTACCTTCTTATCCTTTTCATCAATGCTCTTGTTCACTCTGCTGAATGGATTATTGTAGCGTCAATTTTGGAATTTCATGACCAAAATGAAGTAATGTGTCATCGATATTGTACAAGTAGTAGCAAAAAAAATTCAGATAGTGGAACTTTTACTCTCCTACTGCTGCGGTGATGCAAGTTCCATTCTGGCTTGATATGCGTATGCATGATAGACAAATATTCTTAATGCTATTTGATACTTCTCTCTTCCCATTTTCTCAATCTTGCTTTGCTTGACCTATGATGTATTCGCCTTTTCTCCCCATCCTTTGCAGTGGAGGAGACTACAGCCACAAGTTCAAGAATCTAATGGGTGAAATTGGGAAGTCACAGACACTCTGGGAGAAGTATTGTTCTATCAGGAATGAGTGACTTTCCCAGCCTTTTTTATCTTTTGGGCTGCAAGTGCAAGAGAGAACTTCCAAACAAGGTTCCTTAGATTTCAGTTGTACAAGTGGGACAAGTATAGTTTTACAGCAAGGAAAGTGAAATGGGGCATTTCTGATAGAAAATGGGCTCGCGGAGAAAGCATATAGGGATGCTAATTGAATCAATGCTACCATGGAATATTTAAAGCACTTTACCTTGTATAGGTTTGGTCTTAGCATTTTGGTTTGTCATATATGCAATGCACATTGTAATTTGGCTCCTTATTTTTGTCTAATTGGTTTTGGGTTCATGGATGTTCATTTGAGTTTTCTTGTGCGGAAGTCTATGAACCTATTCTAGAGTACTTCATGAGATATTTTCCCCTTTTTTGGTATTTACTTAAAGCACCTATTTGTTCAGGTTAAATACTGATAATTTTCTTTTTGGATTCTGTTGTTCTAATACTGTTGAATTTTTACTTAGGGAGTTGATAAAGCACCTGCTACTGTGTATTGTTATGTTTTCCCGCACAAGTGTTTTCAAGAAATATGAGGGGTTTAGTATATAGGAGTGTATTTGCAGTTAGAGTCATATTACAATGGTTTTTAATCTTAAATTAATTGTAATTTGAATTTGGTATCTTTGAGTGATCACTTGGAAGCATTGTCACAATTCTAATAACGAAATGGCGCAAGGAGTTTAGACAAGGATTCGATTCCCAAATTATTATATGTACCGAATTCGTTTTACTTTATATTTCTTAGTTGTAAATAGTTCAGACAATCAAGATTAACGTAAAATTGGTAATATCATCACCATCATACTATGCATACTGTCTTGCTCAATAAAATTTCGATCTTTACTAAATTTCTAGAAAGTAGAGTTGGGAAACTGACTATCCACACCTCATTTGACGATATGAGCATAACCCTTTGTTTCTTTTCTATAGCCAAATGTAGACTTTTGAATAAAATATGATAACAATACTTAACATATACTAAGGGAGTCAAAAGATAGAAATTACAGTCTTCATATTTAGTTGGATTAATGTCAGGATGTTTGTTATACAGAGATTTAAAACAAAAGAGGACGTTGGATTTTTTAAAATGACAAGGAGTACAAAAAGAAAGGGGTCGAAATGCTACCGTTTGAAATTTAAAAGGGTGCAGTGCAACTTTTTAATAAATATAGATACACATATGGGGAACCGCAGGCAAAGCGGCGGAACTGAAAATACCCGAAAGTAGGAATCAAATAGACCCGATTCTGATAAATCTTGTACCCTAGGTTCGAGGGTTTCTTCGACTAACTCTCTCCGGTGTACACCGGGAAATCGAATTTGTTACCGGGAAGTCCTAAAATTGGAAGTAGTTTGATAGAGAAAAAAAGAGAGAAGATGCAAAGCGGTGGAGATGAAGTTAGCATTGAAGAATTGGCTTCGAATCTTTCTACTTATAAAGAACAACTTCTGCAGGTATAAACCCTAATCTTATTCCCTCTGCGCTTTCTAAATTGTAATTTTAGTTTTTTGAATAATCTTTTTCCTTAATTTCATTTAAATATGCCATGTTCAGCTCAAAAGCACTTTACTGTATTGATTATCTTCAAGCTATTGTTTATATAAGCAAAATTCAGAGCTTGTGTGCGCATACACAATTGTATTGGTGTCGAGTTTTAATTTACAGGGAACATTCTGTCATGTCCTTGATAAGAAGATTAGTTTTAGTACGGGTACTAGAACAAAAAGGATTTTGGACGGGGTTGTCTTTTTCTTTTGCTTTTAAAAGATAAAATCCCTAGGTACTACTACTTTTCTGTTGTGTTATAAACTCAACTTTTTGAAGAACGGAATAGCACGACCAGGCTAGTTTTCTTTGCGTGAGTTGAAGGAGCTGCAAAAAATGATAAAGGTAATATACATATGGTTGCCAGCTTGGTGATCCAACCCATATAGATACCACAACTCATGCCCGTGGAACAATTCTTAAAGTCGCATCAAAATGATCTTTGTTTAAGGACAAATTCTCAACCAAAAAAAGGACCTTTGTTTAAGGACAATTTTATGTGATAGGAGGCATAAGAGGTAATTGTCCCAGTTGATGACTGGGCTGTGTCTGATTTTTGGTTGTATGATAGATATTAAGTCGACTTGGAAACATTAGAACATTACGAGATTTCACCGTATTTTAGAAGATTTGACTAGTGCTGTCTGAGGGTGGGACGAGAAGCGAAGTGAATGGTCCCTGTAGGTTTGGCTACAAAGGTTAATGAACTGGTAGCAGTGAAAACTATCAAATGTTATTGCGTTAGAAAGGCCAGGAAACTGGTTTTGCAACCACCAGGACTATACTGTGCAAAGAAGATGCTGATATGTCAATCCTAGTTGCACTTTCTTTCACTTTAAGTAAATCTCATATCTAAACTGTTGCAGCTCCTGCCCTTCAAATTTATAAATTTTCCTTTGCTTATATACCAGGTGCGACAACTGTTACGTGATGAACCACGCAACTCCGAATATGTGGACATGGAGAAAGAGCTTGTTGAGGTGACATTTTACCCTTTTTTTTAGTTCTCTACTTTTCCCCCTTCGTTTCTTTTTGTTAAGTGTTTTCTTAATGAAATCTCCCGTTAGCTTGTTACCACTATCGTTTTTCGTGAGATATTTATTAGTCTCTATGTCCACTAGCACAAAGGGGTAAGTCGTCTTCATAGTTAATTATTAGTTTTTCTATTCTGAATTAATTACTAGTATCTATTTCTTCTCTCTATTTCTTACACGAACATTATATTGCCGATAAACAAGCAGTGTGAAGGAACTATCCGTGACTGAAGAAACATAAGTTAATCATTTGGTTTTGAAGGTGAGGATTTTATTTTGATAGAGTAAATTACCTCAATGGTAGTGAGGGGTGTGGCGATTGTAAAATTTTGGAGCTAGCAACTTTCTCAAGGTGTCCATCACTTTCATGTCTTGATTCAATTGCAGGTCTGCGATATTTGATGGTGGCCAGCATACCTCTATCCCATGATTTCAGATGTCACTCTGTGAATCTAAGTTTGGAATTAAAAAATTAATTTGTTTCTTGGCTTGTGCTAAGCAAATAGTTCTAAACCAGGATAACTTTCTGAAATGCAGGTGATTGCCTTAACGGAAGAGCTCCTTGCAACTGCAAAACAAAGTGAAGATGGGATGGGTACCGGGACCAGTGCTGATGCATCTCATGGTTTTCACCATTCTGGGAATTCTAATGTGGTATATCCTAAAGATTATATTGTTAGAGTTATCGTCCTTTGGTGGATATTGCTCTCCCTATAATTCTTGAAAAGTGTTAGATTTTAATTGGAAAGGATGAAAATTAGCTTTGTGCAGTTAATGATGGTGTATCTAAATTGTTTTCTGGCTGATTTCTACCAAAGACAAAGTTCCCTTCCCCAATGTAAAATAGTAAAATTTGTTGGAATTCCCAACCACTATTTTGGTAAGGAAACCTTTGTGGATGTAATTTTGCAAGGCCTTTTTTTTTNAGTTGCAAACAATAAGATGTTATCTTAAGGGAAGAAGACTGACATTATTGCTTCAATCATAGTATACTAGATTTATCCTTTTCTTCAACAACAGCAACCATGCTTCAACCCAAGCTATTTGGGGTCAGCTGTATGAATCCTCAATATCATAAATACTCTGTTGGGTCAACGTGGAATATTGGTTTTCTTTCCTTTTGATGGATTATAGATTTATCTACACAGTAAGCACGAGTAATTGCATCTTCATTCTTTTGTACGTGCGTATTACTGATTTTATCCTTTTTTGGTTAATGGCCGTAAATGTTTTGTTGAAAGGCTTCTCTCATTTCACTTTTCATCAATTTATGCACTATACCCCCACAGAGGTGTTCCAAAAAGGAAGAAAGAGAGACAGGGCTGGAACAAAGTCCTTTTTCTTATGTTTGGTTCCTAACATCCTCTTTCCGCAGGAATCAGGGTCAACATTGGACCATGCCGATAAGTTTCTTGTAGGCACTAAAGTACAAGCTGTTTGGAGTGAAGATGGGGAGTGGTGAGTAGAGACTTCTGTGGTGATTGCTCTTTTTTCTTTTCTGTTTTTCAATTTTTGAAGTTTTTATATTCTCTTCAATTATTCTTTACCTTTTCTTTCTCTTTCTTGTTGTTGATTTAGTTGATTTTTCAGGTATGATGCCACCATTCATGCACATACTCCAAATGGCTATTATGTTTGCTATGAGGACTGGGGTAACAAGGAAGAGGTATTGCCTTCTTTTTATGCTTTAATGGAAGTGTTTTGATTGGCTTTAAAGCTCTGCTTCAGTTTTTCTTTTATTTTTTCTTCTCTTTTAAATTCTTTTCCTTTGTCGTTTTTTGTCTAAATGATCTGTGATTTTGTTTGTCCTTCTAGCTAGGCTAGACCATATCTCTTTTCCAGCTTTTCTGTTGTCTTTAGTCTAAACCAAAGTGCCAACAAAGGAAAAAGGAATTAAATTTTATTAGTTCTAGTTCAATAACTTTAATTAAACAAAATATATACTTATACATGACGTAATATATATATATATTTATTGGCTGTATCCTAACACCTTTATCTGCACTCGGATCCATAAACCCGGATCCTAAGTATTAAGTGATGAAGAATTCGACCTCTAGATCCGCACCCGTATACGGTACCCGCACCCAAGTCCGACCAACATAAATATGTTGACGGAAGTATGTAAACTTCACAAGAATCAGTCTGGTGATATGCTTATTCTACTTATTTAGTTGTTAATCGATAAAGAAACTGTGTTTGCAAGGGGGGTTGTCCATTGTAGCCAAACAATATGTCCAATTGTTGTAATAATAATAATAATAATAATAATAATAATAATAATAATAATAAGGCAAAATACCTTAAACCACCCTTAAACTTGGCTCAGATTATTAGTGTCCTCCCCGAACTATGCCCGGTCCTAATTATCCCCCTACACTTGACTATATGAATTTAGAAAACCCCTGATCTGCCACATGGCATAGCAAGTGGTATTAAGTGGACTGTGGCGCGTGAGAGAGCTCTTAAACAGTAAACAACCCCCCAAAATAACATCCCCAATGGCTATTAGCCCTCTTCTTCCTATTTTTAACATCCTCCATTGAAGCCAAACTCAAGTTCATACCTTTCCCTATAGTTCTTGATTTTCTTCTTTAGTAATTAAATTACTTAGTCCTATTTCCAGATTTCTGTCCTATTTTTCTCCATCATACCTTACATTAAAGATGAACACACTTTGTAGATGTGGGTATCCAACATGTTTAATTTTTTTTTGGTCAAATGCTAATCCCGACCGGAGATTTCTTGGATGGAGAAACTATAAAGTATGAATATAGTGAGATTAGTGCTATTTAGAAGGTTTAATTTTAGTATATTTTTGTTGGGTTTGTTATATATATTTTCTTCTTGTT